CTCCCTCCTTGCAGGCAGGGACCCCAAACCAACCCAACTGAGAAGTAGGTAGGCCCAAGGCTCACTCAGCCTCCTCTTTAAGGGGCAAGACTTTGAGCCCCAAACCAAAAACTTCATCCACCACCCTCCCCGCATTGCTGCAAATCCCCCCCAAAAAAAGCCACCATAGCATTCTAAATACCTACTATGTGCCTGGAGCGATTCAAGAGGCCCTGGCTGGCGTAGCTCAGTGGATTGAGCACGGGCTGCAAACCAAAGCATCACAGGTTCTATTCCCAGTCAGGGCACATGCCTGGGTTGCAGGCCACAGCCCCCAGCAACTGCACATTGATGTTTCTCTCTCTCTTTTTCCCTCCCTTCCCTCTCTAAAAATAAATAAATAAAATCTAAAAAAAAGAGAGAGAGAAAAGAAACACTCTACTTAAAAAAAAAGAGCTTCAACCTCAGGTTCATTCAAACTTTACAACACCCATATGACGCCTGCTATGATGCAGGTGCTATGTGCCCATTGTACAGATGGGGAAACGGAGGCACAGCACAGGCTAGTGACCTGCCCAGTCGGTGTGAGGTAAAGCCAGGGTCTGAACACCAGCAGTCAGGCTCCAGAGCCCCCCGCTCAACCCCCACACCAAGCACAGACCCGGAACACAGAGGAGGAACGCGGAAGCCCGGCATTTCCATTTCCCTACAGTTCCGGCCATTCTGCGGAAGAGAGAAAAGGAATCACAGAGGGGAAGTAACTGAGGAAGCACAGGCAGGGGGTCAGGGTCACGGGCTTGAATTCCAGTCTTGCCGCCTTAATAAGTCACGTGGCAGCGAAGCGGCTAGGGACATGAGTTCTGAGGGTGGCAGCCTGGGATCAAACACTGGCAAAATGCCGCCTCCACGACCCAGCAAAGCTCATGTAAACTACATTGGCCTCAGTTTCCTCATCTGCTGGTGGGGATCGCAACAGCACCCACAACAGCACCCCCTTCCCAGGGATGAGGAAGTTCCAATGAGTTGATTCGCGCAAAGGGCTTAGAGCAGCCAATGATGAAGCAGGGTCAGCTCCCACGCTGTACCGACCATCATTGTCATCGCCGTTATCAACACGCCCGAGAGCACCCAGGGAGCACTGGGCACGGCGGGGGCTTCTAAATGTGCAGACCCCACGCTCAGAGTCAGGCGCCGGGGCGATTTCTTTCACAGCCTCTGCGGCATCCCTGGGGAGAGATCCGGCACCTTTCCAAGGGGCCTGTCCTTGCCTTTCCCTGCCTCAAATCAACACACGCGAACCGCGGGCGGCACCGGAGTCGTCAGCCCCCCTTGGGGATGGGCAGGGGGCGTGTGATCCATCTCCTGAAGGAAGTGGGAAAAGAGAGAGATTCTGGAGAAAACACGGAGTGTCAGGCCCGGAACCCAACAAAACCACCGGTTCCTGTGGCCACTTCACACGGTCAAAGCGAAATCCACTCGGAGCCCCCGTCCTCGTTTGGGTGCTGACTCAGCCCCTGCTCTCCCCAGGCAGCCCTCCCAGACACACCCTGTGCTCTGGAGGCTGGAATCCTACAGCCCCAACCCCCTGCCTGACCTGTTTAATTGCCATAGTAATGATAATAACGAATACTCCCATACCTGCCTGCCTGCCAGGCCCTGTTCCAAGTGTTGTATACATATTTATGTAACTCACCATCTCAAAAACCCACTAAGATAAGATCGATTATCACCCCCATTTTACAGATGAGGAAAGTGAGACCGAGAAAGGGTAAACCACTTGCCTAAGGTCACAGAACCTCAGGACTTGACCCCAAGCGGTCTAGCTACAGAGCCCAGCCTTGTGCTTGGATTTTTGTAAGCCCCCTTTTTGCCCACCTCCAGGAGACTGTCCTCTCCTTGCGGGCAGGAACCCGGACCTGACTTCTCTGCAGCTCCCACCACGCTCGGGCTACACAAAGGCCTCCCTTCTACTGGCAATGGAACCTCCAAGCCAAGGACACACGGGGGCCAGGAAAGCCCTTCGAGGTCTGTCTCCGCCACATGGAATCAAAAGCAGGGAGGGATTACTGAGCATTCTTCCATCCTCCGGAGCCAGGAGGCTGGGGGGGAAAAATCCCTTAGCAAGTACAAAAGCTGGAAGGAGAGAGTGGGAAGGGAGACGAGAATCACAACCTGCGGGCTGCCAGCCTCGCTGCTGCTGCTGCTGCTGCTGCTGCTGCTGCGTGGAAAGCCTTGCTAATTAGCAGTTCCTGAAGCTCTGAACCCTGGGCTTTCCAAATGAAAAGGCCTTGGGTCATTTGGGGGCCGTTTCTGAAGGAGCAAAACGAGACAGGCCTCCCGTGGCTCACAAACAAGGTATGGCTGGTTGGGTTACACAATCAGTCCCTTTCTGGCACCAGCTTACGGACACCCAAAAGGGCAAGGCAGAAAGGCAGCCTGGATGGCCTCCCCTCTTTTTCAGGTGGGGAAACTGAGGCCAGGACAGGTGGCACGACCGGTCCGAGACGTCCAAGCTGGACCAGCTCATCTCAGGACGGACAATGATGAGCTCAGCAAATTAAAAGTGCCAAGGAGATCATGTGGAAGTCGAGAAACCACTCTTCCCCTGTTTCTTTAATAAGAAGAATGGTTGATTCCAATCAATTTCCATTATTCCAGCTTCCTCGGACTCTACACGTGGACAATGTGAAACCACAGTTAACCTACACGCAATCTCTGTCCACTCTGAAACACACCACCGCATCTCGGGCAAGGGCTTTCTTTCCCATTAATAGGAAAAAATTGCTTCCCTCTCTTCCTTCCAGACTGAGGAGCAGGGAGCAGCAGCTCAGAAGGAGAAGTGGGGAGTTCCCTAGAATTTGACATTGCTCAGCGATGCCAGGACTGTCTACATCTTTAATTCAGAAACTGCCAGCTTCAAACTGAGCAGATTCTTTTATTTAACTGTGAGAGAGGGAGCGATGGGGGGGGGGGGCTGCGAACCCTGCCTTATTCTCACAGGCCTTTCTAGAAGGGTCCTTTAGCCAAATGGTTTTCAATGCCTCTGTACAACTCCCCCCACCCTTCCCTACACACACACACACACACACACACACACACACACACACACACCCCCTCTTTTCACAGAGAGAAGGGCTCTCTCCCTGAGTTGGAACTCGGACCTCACACAGCCTCCGCTACACCCCCAAGCTACTGGGGACCCTGCAGGCTGCCAGAGTCTCCCTCTTGCCCCCAGAGACTGGAAGCTGCGGAGCCTGGCTCTGAGGTCTCTAAAGGAAACACCACCGCCCCCACCAGCCCTTCCTGAGGCAGGATTAAAAGACTTCCTAGAGCAGAGAAGGGAGTAAATGAGGTCCCAGCAGGAGGCACGGAGATTAAAGCCCTGGAGTCTCCTAACTCTCCGAGAGGCTGGGCCCCGTCCCACCCCCTCCACCCCACAGCCACTTTTCTCACTTCCTAGGAGAGTAGGGAAGCGGCCCCTTCCTCCCTCTCACAGAAAAAGAAGGAAGAAACGCAGCATAGGATAGGGGTTCACAGTACCAGCTGGGCCTGCCCTGATTCGAAAGCCACTATCCCCAATTAACCAGCTGCGTGATTTCGGGGCAAGTTACTCAGCCTCCCTGGAACTAGCCTCTCCCATCTAAAAAAAAGGAGGGGGGATCGTCCCTCCTTCATGAGCCACTTGAAAAGGTTAAACCTTCCAATGACACATATAGGTACCTGCCACACAGCGCTCGGTTGTTATTTTACAGTCTGTCGCTGTGGTTTTGCAACTTGGAGATGAGGGTGGGGGAGGCAGGGTGGGACTGCCAAGTCGTGAGTTCTAACACCACTCTCCCCAAGCTCCAGCAAAAGCGTGTGCGTGGGGACCCGCAGTCCTACTCTGGGGTTTTATCGATCTCCGTCCGCCCGCTGGGCTACTCTACTCCGCACAGAGGGACCCGGGCTCTAGCATTTCCAGGGTGCGTCCTGGGTGAGGAGTCCGTGGTGTACCCGAAGGCGAAGAAAGCCTCGGGGGCGGGGGGAAACGAAGGAGCGAAAGCTCCGGGCGCCTGGTTCCCAGAGCCCCTGCCTCACGGATGTAACTAATTTTAAAACTATTTGAAAGGCGGGGAGGGGAAAAGAAAAAGACAAAAGGGCAGCGTGCCGGGGGGAACAGGAGTGCCGGAGACCCCGGGGCGGGCTGGACTGCCTGCCAGCCTAGGAGGAGACAGTCCGGCTCTAGAGAAGCACGGGTCTCCTCACTTCTCTGCGCACCCCGCGGGGCGCCCCGGAGGCGACTCTCGAGACCCCCGGAATCTGTGGCCACAGGTTGTGGGGACCGCCCCGCGCGAAGGCCCCAGCGCTGCGCTCTCCCCGGGCTCCCCGGGAGACACTTACCGACTGCAAGAAGCGCAAGGTGCCCACGTAGTCCCTCTCGGTGCCCAAGATCTCGTTGAGGACGCAGAGGCGAAGGCGCAGCTGGCGCTCCGACTCCCGGGCTGCAGCGCAAGGACCGGAGCTGGGCGCAGTGGCGCCGGGGGCCCGGGGGTCCGGGTGGACACCGTCCCCAGTCCCATCGCCGCAGGAATTGTTGCCGCCGGGTACCTCCATTCTAGCGCGGCCGCACGGCGCCCAGTACTTCCCCCGCGCGGAGGTCGCGCCGAACGGCGACTCAAGCGTCCAAGCGCCCCATCTCGGACGGGGCGCGCCGGCTTAGCGGCTGGCCCGGCGCTCGGCGCGGCGGGCGGGAGGGCGGGCAGGCGGGACTAGGGGTGGGCGGCCCCGGCCGGGGGCGGAGGCAACGCGCGGAGGCTGGACCAGGGGCGGGAGGAGGCGGCCTTCGGGGCTCCCAGACGGCGGGCCCCAGCCACCCGCCCTCCCAGGGAGTGTCTGCCAAGTGCCACGCCGCGTTGAGCCGCAGAGAAGCGCCGCGGCGCTCGCCGGCAACGTCGGAAACTCGGCGCGACCGGAGCGGGGCCGCCTGCCGCTCTCCGGCGGGAGGAACTCTCCGGAAGGGGCCCGGCGGAGCTCGGAGGCGAGCGCACCAACTCTGTAGCCCAACGCGTGGCGCCCCCACCCCCGCCGCGGGCTACGCCACTCCCTCCCGACACACGCGACACCCTGCGTTCACAGGCACAAGCACGCAGGTCCGGCCGCCGTGGCCGCGGCCGGGCCGAGTAAACACCCAGCTGGAAACGCTGGCAGCGGAGCCGCTCCGTAGCAAGCCGGCCCGAGGAAGAAAGAGGGGCGGCCCGCGCCCGGGCTGTGTTGCCTCTGGGACACCCAGCCCTTTGGGTGCCCTCGAGAGCAGCACTCGACCTTGAGAAGGAAGACGTGAGGTTCTCGCTGTTACTCCTTTTCCTTCCCTTATTTTTCTTTCCATCCTTTCTTCCTTTTTCTTTCCATCCTTTCTTCCTTTTTCTCTTTCTTTGTGGATTTTTCTTTGCCCCCATGAGCTGAGCCTACCCTTTCCACCTTTCCCAGAAGAAACCATCTGTTCTCAGTTTCTAAGTGATAATTGCTCTGCCTGAGCCCCTCTCCCATCCACCCACCTCCACGGGTAAGGTCTTGGGAATCTGGCTTCTAGTCGGGGCTGCTCTGTGTGACAGTGACTTTGCCTGCCTCACAGGAAGGTATGATGCTCAGATTCAAACCCCATCTCCCACACTCGCTAGCTGGGGGACCTTTGGCTGGTTTCCTTGTCTCAAAAGCCTCAGTGTTCTGTTCAATATAATGGGAATAAAAATGGCTCCTAGCTCACAGGGGCCTTCACACCGTTACAAGTTAATCCATAGGGAATACTTGGAACAGTGCCTATCACTTAGAAAGGTCTCTATAAGTGTTTGTTCTTAATTATTATTGCCTGTATAAACAGCCCTCTTGGCCAGGCGCCATTCTCCAATCTGTGCACCCAACCCCTCCCTATTCACTGGCCAGAGATGGTATTATCTCTGCAGTGGATTGGCCGTTTCGTATAATATCCCCTTGTAGACTGTAATCATCCTTTAGGAAGGAGCATTATTGCTCATTTATTTTCTGTTCCAAACACCCAGGATTGTTCTCCCAGTGGCCTCTGGGTGAATACTGGAAATGCCTAAAGACGCTGGACGAGAGTGGGGTAGCTTCCACCCTACAAGCTCTGTTCCTTCAGGATCATGGACAAGATGGCATTTGGTCTGGGCCTCGGGTGAGTGAAGTTCCCTTGGGCAGGGAGTAAAGGGTATGAGGTAGGTGAGCCTGCCAGGTATGGTTAGTGGAGCCGGTTATGTCCAAAATGTGGCTGACTGCGAAGGTTCTGAGGAAATTGTACAGGTCGCTGGAGTAGCTCTGCTGTGTGACGTTACATGTCTCTGAACTCCGGTTGCCTCACCTTTTAATGAGTCCTGTCCACCACAAGGGGTGTGCATAGTGGATGCATCCTGGCTTTGGCATGAAACGGGCTTGCATTTTGTATCTCAGCTCCAAATCTAACTGGCTGGGTGACCTTGGCCAAGACACTTCACCTCTCTCAGCCTCAGTTGCCTCATCTGTAAAATGGGAGCCTTTATAAGAGGAAAAATTGTACGCAAAGCAGGTTTTCTCAGCCTCAAGACTGTTGGTATTTGGGGGTAATTTTTACTTGTGGAGAAACATCCTGTGCTTTGAAGGACATTCAGCAGCATACTCTCCCCACTAGGTGCCACTCACAATTGTGACAACCAAAAATGTCTCCAGACACTGCAAATGCCCCCCCCCCCGGGGACAGAATGGCCCATAGTTGAGAACCACTGATACGAAGTATCTGACACTTAGTAGGTGCTCAACAAATGTTAGTCCCCCTTCCCAGCTGTGACCATGGAAGATTTGCTTCACCTTCAGAGAACTTTGTTTCACACACACACAAACACCCACTCACACACACACACCCATCCCATATTTCACCCAAGAATTGGCCCACACCGCCAAAAAGACCGTCTAAACATTTCACATTTGTGAGCGGACCCCACCCTTGGCCCACCCCAATACTTCTGTATTCCGTCACTCCCTCGGGCACCTCTGGAATACTTCTCCCGACTCTCCCATCACCAGGGAAGGATGATCCAACTTTTAATAAATTACTTAAGTTCTCTGTGCCTCCTTTTCCGAAGCTGTGAACTGAGGATAATAACTGTACTGACATCGTAAGGTTGTTGCAGAGATTCCGGAGTTAATTCAGGGAAAGTGCTTAAAGCAGGTACTAACCGTTCAATAAGTGAAGGCTTTTATGTATTCAACTCGTGGACTGAGGGCTGAATTCATTCGGCTGCATTTGGCTTGCAAGGAGGAGAAAAATGGGCTACTGAGGGGTTAACACGTAAAGACATTGTTTATTTAACAAAGATCCAAAGGAGATTGGTTCCCCTGGCTATTTCAGGACTTGGTGACATTGTGAAGGACCAAGGTGCCTTCGACCCTGCCGTCCTGATCACGGTGGCTCTTCTCCCAAGGTAGCAGAGCCTCAGGTTGGCAAGATGGCTGCTACAGTGATGACATCACCTGCTAACGCAATGACTCTAAAGCAGGAAAGGAAAGAGAAGGAAAAGGCAGGGGCGTTCTCCTCTTATCAGAGAGAGAAAAAATTCCCCAAAGGCCCCCACGGGCAGAATTTCCCTTACACCTCACAGGGCAGCCTGGGTCCCGTGACCTCCCTTAAATAGTCCCTGACCAAGAGCAGGGTTATCACCGCCAACTTAAAACAGTCCTGCTGCCTCTCCTGGGACTTGGCTGCCTGGACCACCTGGGTTCTACTGTCAAGAGAGGAGTATCTGCCATAAGCACCTACTATGCGCTGGGCAGCGAGCGAGATCCTGGGACTGCGGAAGGGAACCAGACCAACAACGTCAGGCCCTGGTGGAGCTGATGTTGTTCTGGGGTGGGGAGGGCAGACGATGATGAATGAAAGACAGCACCTTCCTTCTGTCCTGCACTCAAGGAGTGTTGACCCAGGGCTACGAAGCACCAGGCTGGGATCCGAGCAGTGAACGCAACAGATAAGGTTCCTGCCCTCCTGCTGCTTCCAGTGCGAAGCCGAGGAGAGGGACAATAACCAAGTTAACAGTCAATCAGTAAACAGAACACATAAGCGAGATCCTTTCAGCTTCTCCGGTTGGTTGGTGGCACCTTCCAGCCTCTGCTTCAGGTCACTGCCTACTCTGGGTCGCCTGCCTCAGACAGGGGGCTCAGCACTGGTGTCATCAATGGGGACTCCGGGGCCTGGCTGTTCTCCCAGCTCCTCCTGGCACAGAGAAACTCCCGGAACAAACATGACTAAGCAACACAAGCTGGGGGAGGTTTTCCTTTCCTGCCCCCGTTTCAGCCTCGATCTCTCCTCCCTTCTTCCCCATCACCCCCACCCATACTCCCCAGGATCTCCAGTAGGGAGCCCCTAGATCCTCGTATGTCTCCAGGGCAGAGCCTAAAATAGACCATAACTGGGAAACCGTCACCAAAAAAAAACAGAGTTTTTAAAAATGAAAAAAAAAAAAAAACCCTTTCAGTTCAGATGATAACGATAGGGAAATTCTTTTCTGCAGGGACGATTTTTAGAGTTCCTGTTGCCATGTACTTCACAAATAGTGGGAAATACCACTTCGTTTCAATTGCATAAGTCTCACAGCTGCAGGGTAGACGTTAATGCTGCCTGGAAACATTAGGCAGTTCCTTATTCCAGGACAGGACGCCGTCAGGTTCTGCAGGCTCAGGGTTTGAAGGCCCCCTTCCCAATCCCTGCTTAAAAAAAAAAAGAGAGAGATAAAGCAGGGAAGAACAAAGGGTGATTTTGGTCCACCCCAAGTTGAATGAGCCCAGTGAGAAATGAGTAATCAGACTGCCCAGGACTACCAGTCATTTCCCAAACGCAGATGAGGTCTTCCCTCAGTCAGGCCAGCCACCCAGGGAGTCTTTTCTCCATTCTGAGAACCAAGAGCAACTTTCTGAAAAGAAGAGTCATCTCCACCCTTGACATTGGACAGAACGGCAACGACCGAGCCCAGTGCTAGACACGCAGGCTGGGATTCATTTCTTCAGACCAAACCATAATGGGCGTCCTGATTGTCTTAGTTTAGCCACCCCTCGAATCCTCAAGCCAAAACTTCTCCAAAGGAAGCCTCGCTGTTGGGAGCAGGTCTCTCCAGAGGACTCTGGTCCAAGGTCTGATTCAAGCAAAGTAGATACCAGATTAAACCAGGGCTCCAGAGCGATGCCAAATCATATTCCTGCCAGAAACCATTAGAAATATAGCCTGAAGAAAACGCTCGGGACCCTCGGTTTGAATCCCAACTGTGCTACTGACATGTGTGCCTTCTTTTTCAGCCTGTGGACGTTATTGTAACTGTAGAGACCAGCTTCCTGGGTTCAAATCGCAACCCCACCATTTCCTTAGTGTGTGACTTTGTGTAAGCAAATTAATCTCTCTGGGCTTTGACTGTATGTATCTGTACAATGGGGACAATAAGACTTCTGACCTCACAGGGTTGTTGCGTGGGTTAAAAGAGTTAATAGATCCAAGGTGCGTAGAATGCTACCTGACCTTCAACTGAGGGTTAGCTGTTGTAACTGGGTGAGGCCATGATGTTTGGAGGTGTGGCAGCCATCTTGACACCATGAAGAAGGACATTGCTAACCAGTTGAAAATGCCAAAATGACAGATGGCAAGAACCTGAATCTTTGATGTCACTGAGCTCCTGAATTAACCAACTGTGGAACTGCCCTGCCTCTGGACTTCTTGTAGAAGAAGATGATAAAATTGTATAACTTTGTATAAGAAGGTAAATTTTATTGTTTAAGCCAGTTAGCTCAAGTTTCCTTTACTTGCAACCAAAAGCATCCTAACTAATATTCTGTCTTCCCCCTAGACTCCCCCCCCCACACTTAAATCAATTCCTTTATTAATGACATGACCAAATACCCTGGCTTGTATTGGACAATCCAGATTTATACCCATTGTCCCAGAATAATTATTAATAACATCCCAGTTTGGGTGATTATAGTTACCCTCTCCTTTGAATAAAGCATCGCCCTCTTCCTACTTCTCTCTTAAAATGCAGAGGGGTGCTGCTCTCCACCATACTGAGGTGAAGACCTAAGGTTTGTAACATGAAGCCTGGGTTGACAGTAAAGTTAAGAAAATGGTTCAGAAAGAGATTAGTGCATGAAAGGTAAATTCTACAATTTAGTCAAGACCCAGAGATTGATCTGGGTGGTGTATCTTGAAATTCTGCAGCCAGCATGCCAGATGGTTTCAACAGACATACTGGACACACATTTATACATCTTTTTTTTTTCCAGTTTCTTTCCTGGACTGAAAGCTCAAAAATAGGGCTGCCCAGTCCAAATCCAGACACCTGGCAATCCCACTGGTAGCTCTTACCGAAAGCAGACGGTTTCCTCTGTAGCCAGCAGAAACACAATTAGCCACGCCCTCTCCCAGTGCCCTTTATGCTGCAGCCTGCCTTTGAAATTTCCTGGGCACATTCCAATTTTCCTGGAGCCTTAGTTGAACGGCGGGGGGGGCGATTCTAACAAAAACTGTTACCATTTCTTGGAGTGCTCACTACATACCAGGCACTGTTAAGACGTGACATCAAATTCTCACAACTGCCCTTCCTGGTAGGTATTATTATTATTATTGCCTCTTTCTTACCCGTGAGAAAACTGAGGCTCAGAAATGAACCCGACTGAGGTCACTGTATTAGTTATGTTAAAGAGAGACAGGGTGACGAGACCCAAGTCGTGATGAATTCTTTTAAATAGAGCTGGTTTCTCCCTCATTATGGTCCAGGGATAAACAGCCCAAGGCAGGGATGGAGTCCTGCCGGGGCCCAGGCTCCTTCCAGCTTGTGGTTCCACCACCCTTAACGTGTGGTGTTCACCGGGTGCTCCAAGATGAATGCTGTAGGGTCAGGTGTCAACCAGCAGGAAGAGAAAGGGGGAAGGGGAGCGGGTGCCTGGCCCTTTTAAGAATGGAAGTTTCACATGTCACTTCCACTTTCACCCGATTAGCCAGAGCTTTGCCATCCAGGGATGTCTGACCCTAAATCCATGCCAAGCCGCCTCGCAGGTGTTGCCAGTGGACTAGGAGAATCTTATTTGCCTCATCGAAGAACAGCGCCAGGCGCACCTAAATATTACTTAAATGGATGAACGAATACCTCCAGGTTGGAAGAAAACCTCACTGTGCACACCTGGCCCCGTGCTAGGCATGGAGACCAATGAACAGAACAGGAAAGAGTCCTTGCCCTCCTGGAGCGGACATTCTAGTGGCAGGAGAGATGGTCCATAAGACCCCAGTAAGTCAAACGCCACATCAGCCACGTGGTGGCAATGGCCGTGGGGAAAACCAAAGCAAGGAAGATGACAGGGAGTGATGGGCCAGGCATCCCCAGGGCGTGAGAGAAGACCTCGCTCAGGAGGTGACATTTCAGCAGAGATCTAAACGAGGTGAGGGAGCAGGCCCTGCCTGTGTTCCAGGCAGAGGGAACAGCAGGTGCAGGGGCTTGGACGCAGGAAGAGCCAGGAGGAGGGAAAGGCAGGGCACAGGGCGGTAGGAGGAAAGGCAGTTTGAGGAGAGAGAGAAGCCAATGTGGGAGCTGTGTCGGTGGCTGCAAGGACCCTGGCTGTTTCTCTGGGAAGCCGTGGAAAGCTCTGAACAGAGGAGAGGTGTGATCTGACAGGTTGTAGCAGGGTCCCCCTGCCTGCTCTATGGGAAGAGACTCGGAGGGGGCGAAGTCAGAAGCGGTGAGGCCGGGAGGAGGATACTGCGATAGTCCAGGCGAGAGACGCTGATGGCTCACACCAGGGCGATACCGGGGCAGAGGGGGAGAAATGGCCTGTTGTGGATCTATCCTAACAATAGGACCTGTAGGATTTGTTGAAGTGCTGGGGGTGAAAGAGAGAGAGTTCATCATGACCCTGAGGTTTTTGGCCTGAGCAACTGCAAGGATGGGATTGGAATTCACCAGGTTGGGAAAGGTTGTGGGAGGAGCAGGTTTGGGGGAGAAGGTGGAGAATTTGATTTTGGCCGTGTTTAGATGTCAAATTCAACAGCCACATGGAGATGATGAGTGGGCAGTCACACAATTCCAGGGTTCAGGGGGGAGGTCAGCCTGGAGACAGGAATGCAGGCATTGTCCGGATCAGAGTGAGAGCTAAAGCCACGGGATTGGGTGAGCTAATTAACCCAGGGAGGGCACAGGGATGGAGAAGGGGACAAGGACAGGGACTCGGGACACAGCAGTGTTCAGAGCTGGGGCATCCAGGGGACACCAGAATAAATGTTAGAGAGAGTCCATTTCCCATCTGCGGCGCCACCCTGGCTTCCTTGAGAAGACCAGACGTAGTGGTGAATCCCCTATGAGCTCGTCACCTCCTGTGAAATGGAGCAGAGGGCAAGTCCCCAGTCCAGGCGTTTCCTTCATGCCCCCGAGTCTCAGTTTCCTCGTTTGTTAAATGGGGACGTTAAGAATCCTGCCCTGGCCTTGACCAGTGTGGCTTCGTTGGTTGGACATCGTCCCACAAACTGGTTCAATTCCCAGTCAGGGCACATGCCTGAGTTTCAGCTCAGTCCCCAGTCAGGGAGCATACAGGAGGCGGCTGATCAATGGTTCTCTGTCACATCGATGTCTCTGCTTCTCTCCCTCTCCTCCTCCCTCCCTCCCCCTCCTCTAAAAATAAATAACTAAAATCTTCTTTTAAAAAAAGACTCCTGCTCTGCCAGCTCTCTGAGGAAATGAGAGAACACAGAGAGTGATGGGCACTCTCTGTGCCCACAGAGAAGATTTTACGGATGATCTTATGACGGGATCTTACAAAATGCTTGGAAAAAAAATTGAAGAGTGCACAGGAAAGAAGATGCGTCCCCTACCGCCCATCTTTGGGTCCTCAGAAATGAGAACCTGAAGCAGAGAACAAAACTTACCTGGATTCGGAGAAAACGAAAGAGAAGTTGTGGTGGAGAAAGAACAACATACAGCTCCCTGCGACACCACGGATGAATTTTAAAACCATGCCGTGAGCCGGCGAAACCAGATAGAAAGGAATGCATTATGTAGATTCTACTTATCAGTGCCCAGAGCAGACAATGTTGCACCACAGTGCTTAGAGGTACACGCTTGGATGGTAAAGCTATAAAGAAAAGAATATGGCGTTTAGGTGTAAGTTAGGCAGTGATTTCTTCCCAGGCTGAGGAGCAGGGGGTTTGGGATGCGTTTGAGCCAGAGAGGGGCTTTCAAGGCTGGCCATGGCCTATGTCTTAGCCCAGGTAGGGATTTCACAGAGGTTCACTTTAGAATAACAGATGATAGTTTACATTATGCTTTATGGACTTTTGTCCATGTGTTTTCGCTTTCCCAGCTTTAACAACGCATCAAAAGCCTAAAAAACAAATATACCTGTATTCATATCCCTTGACCAACTCATTCACATTCAAAGAATCTAAATTACAGACATAATCACACACTCAGACAAACTTTGATGCACAAAGATGTTCGCTGCAGCGCTACTTATGACAGCCCCAGGTTTGAAAGGACCTACATTCTCACTAATAGGTAAAGAGTTAAATACATTAAGGCGTATCCACAATTTGGAAAATCATTCAGCCATTTAGAAGTCTGCTATGGAAGTATATTTAATGGGGTGGAAAATGGTCATGACGCCTGAATGAGTGGAGAGGAAAAGCGTGGAACGGAAACTACATGTGGCCTGTGATCTCAGCGTTGGTAACATACATTACATATCTGTACAAAAAAGACAGGAAAGAAGTTACAAAAACAGCAAGGGTAGTTACATCTGGGCAGTGGGATTAGGGGTATTTGTTTCTGTCTTTCTACCTCTATTTCCCAAATTTTCTGCAATGGATATATATTCCTTTTATTCTTTCCTTCTTTTAACCTGGACCTCCGATGCACGCAGTTAGTTAGCCACACCCCTCAGGCCATGCATAGCACCCATGGCACCTGAGTACAGCCTCTGTTTTGTTCTGTTTTCACTTGTTTCTGCCTTCATCACCCATCTCGACTGCTGCTATTTCCCCCTCCCGCACAGACACCCACTCAGGTGTATTTAAAGTGTGTTCTTTCTATCCATCTGCTGTGCAGTCATTGGGATATATGTGTATCCAAACAGACATAGTTAAAATATATACATGAAGCGATAAAGTGGTGTTTTACGATTGTTTTAAAATGTGTACATAGTGGTACAGAGTTGTGCCTCTGATGCTGTCTTACTTTCTCACTCAGCATCGTGTTCCTGAGATGGGTCCCCGTTGCTGCTTGTGATAAATGCAGGACTTCCGGCTCTTGCTTGGCATCCCGCTGTGTGCACGCGTCACCGTCACCGTGGCGGAGGCTGCTGGCTGTTCCCCGAAAGCGGTTTCTTCCTCTTCCAGGCCACACTTGGGCACTACATCTCCCAAGGTCCCTTGCAGGTAGGTGGAACCCAGGCCTTCTCCTCCCTGTTCTTTTCCCTTCTAGGGAGGTTGGCCTGAGAACCCCAGAGTGACCTTGGAAGCCATGGGTAGCCAGATGACCCCTGGATAACACTCACTTTGGGCTACTACAAGATCAGAACATAAAACTCCCAGTGGCTCTGAGACCTGACAAACATCAGGGGTCTTTATTGGAGTGGTGAACATTCACCCTAACCAATAAAACCACGTTCTGCGTATCCATTTCCTAGTGCCACACGCAAGTCCCCCGAGCTCCTCGAAGAAATGCTGCGACCAACATCCTCACACGTGTGTCCGCTTCCATCTGTGAACAAGGTTATTTTTAGGTGGTCTGCCAGAAATGGAATTGTGGGGCCATAGGGTTTGTACGTATTCTGTTTTCCTGGCCAAAGCAATGGCAGAGGCGTGTGGCTTTGACAGGGGCGGCAGGGGTTGGGGTATTCAGTTCCCAGGAGCCAACATTGCCGGATGCAGTGTCTGTGCTCAGAGGAGTCACCGCTGCATCCGTCCCACAGAGCGGTCTGGGCATTGTTCCATGGTCCTGGCCTCTAAGGCCGGCTTCCTGGGTACCCTGGACATTCTGTGAGCCCCCACGGCCATTCATGAAATTACCAGAGCGGGCTCTGTGGTTTACAGCTGCAAATTCCCGATCTCTGCGGGATTAGGGGTTGGCGACCTTCTTCTGCGAAGGACTGGACAGTAAATATTTTAGAGTTCAAGGGTCCTACAGTCTGTGTCCCAACTATTCAATTCTGTTGTATCACTAGCAGCAAAGACAATATGTAAACGAATGGGTGTGGCTGCCTGCCAATATAAGTTTATATATAGCAACAACAGCCTGCAGATCACAATTTGCCAATCCCTGAGCTAGACAAAAAGGGATCTCTCCTTTCTCTAAATCTCTTTGTAGACAGTTACATCAGAGTTCTTGGCCTTAGCTCCTTGGTCAGCTGCTTTTCTCAACCCATTTTGGGGTCGGTCCCGTAAAGAACCTAACACATTACCTCACCTGCAGTGGACTGACCCAATGAATAAATGAGTGAGTGAAGGAGTGGATGAATGAATGAGCGAACGAACGAATGAATGAATGAATATACTGATGAATGCTTTAATTTAGAGATGGTGATCCCATTGAATAACCCGAGCAAAGACCAGTCAGAATGGGAGCCAGCACTACACACCCCATGCAGCTGAACTGTGCCCCGGGGAGTCTAGTCCTGCCGCGTGGAGCCCTGGAGGGCCGAGTGCTTGCAGTTTCTCTGAGCCCCCAGAGCCCAGCCTGTGCTTTTTACAGGAAAGTGCTTCTCTGTCCAGGCTCTGCGCAGTTAATGTTTCAGAAAGCCCCAGGTCGGGCCCCAGGCATGGGTAGGTCCCTAGCTTTTCACACTTTCACCCGATGCTGAACCCATCCCGGGCTGAGGAGGAACTGAGAGAGTGACCTCCCAGCCCCTGATGGGGTGGGAACAGATACTTAGGGGACTCCCAGAGGCGTTGTAGAAACTCCTGCCTCACCTTTAAAGGTCAAGCTGGCCTTCTCAGGCCTGCCTGCTCGCCTCTCTGGTTTTCCGGCCTCAGAGGGAGATGCGTGGGCAGGGGGGTGGGGTGGAAGTGTGGAGGCTGCCCACCCCGGCAGATGGTAGGGTCAAGTGACCATCTCGCTCCTCTCTGGCCCCCCTGGGGAGCTCAAGAGTCCCAAGGTGGGTTTAGGTGAGAGTGTGTTTGCAGAGGAAATCTTTGGCTGGAGGGCAACTGGGCCATTCACATTGTTTTCTGTCTCCAGCAACACAATAGAAGTTTTGCTGAGGCTCAGGGAGCGTCTACAAAGTGCTCTCCTCCAAGAGCAAGGCGCTGGAACCCGGCTTTTGGTGGCTTTTTATCTTTGGATCCCGGCAAAGGTACGGAGCAGCCAGGCAAGACCCAGGAGGTCCCAGACAGGAGTAGCAGCCTCTGGCTGTTCAGGCTGCTTGCTAAGGGAGTGGTCCTGCTCGATGAACAAAAGGCCAGGCTGCAGGAGGACAGGGGTTGTGCGGGGGAGGAGTCACCTCCATCCTTAACGTTGGCAGGCAGGCCACTGGGAGCTGGTGACTTACTTGGCTTCCAGCCAGAGCCCTGTTGAAACTCCTGCTGGAGCAGGGAAGCCACAGACAGGATACTGTTCACACCACCAGGGGTAAGATTGCCGAATCACATGTTTAACTTCTGTAAGAAATTGCCGATAGTTTTCCAATGTGATTGTGCCATTTTGTATTTCCACCAGCACTGTATGAGGGTCCCAGCTGCTTACTATTAATAATTTTCATTGCACCAGTAATACATGGGTTCACAAGTATTCTCCTGTAAAGCTCAAGAAAGTGCCTTTGCACAACCACCCAGCACCCACCACTCCCCCAAGATAACGCTGTCAGCAGTTGGGGCAGCTTCCTTGCAGACCTCTTCCTGTGCATTTATATCCATAAATAAATACGCACTGAAAACACATAGTATTATTTTGTGGTGATTCTTTTTGCAAAAATGGGAAACAATGTTCCATTATATATTTCACCGCACTCACCATCCCGACACACCATTTGTTCCCTGCCCAACCCCCACCCCACCCCTAGGTAAGACACATAGTTTGGTCAGGGCAGGGATTTGTTTTGTACCCCCAGTGCCTAGCAAAGCAGCAGGCAGAGAGCAGAGGCTCCGTAAATACCTGGAGATGGCAAGAATAGTGTCCATATTGTCCTGCCACTGTTTTCTCCCCTCTCTCTTTGTCACAGATCTTTCAGCATTTACAAATCTGTTTCCTCCTTTAACCTGCTGCATAGCATTCTCCTAGGAATTTGCAAAATGTCTTTTTCATTCCTCTGTGGATGGGCACTCAGGCTGCTTCCGATTCTTCATTATGAGGAGTGCTGCTGCTCCGAACATCCTGTGCTCACCTCCTTGGGCGAGGTCTTTCTCTAGAACAGTCACCCAGCAGGAAATGGCCCGCTCAGAGGGTCTGCACACTATGCATTTTAGTAAAACTGGCCAAAGGGTCAGGATTTCTACCACCAGACGCTGCAAGTAGATCAACCCATAATCTACTTGAGAGAATGGTAAGTGGAGAGAATCTCTATGGTTTGACGAAACGGGATGGTCGGGAGAAGGCAGCATCAAAGTCATAGTGGGGGTGAGGGGGCTATGCTCATAGTCCCCCCACCCAGCCAGATGCCCTGTGTTCAAATCATGGCTCTGCCACCCTCAAGCTAAGTAACCTCAGGCAAGTCACCCAACCTCCCTGCCCACAGTTTTCCATCTGCAAATGAGAAGAACAATAGTAACCACCTCAGAGTGTTGTCAGGAGATTTAACACTTGTATAAAGTGCTTAGAGCAAGGATGCACACCTGTGAAATACGCAGGACGCAGGACGTGTCAGCTACTGTTACTATTTAACAACCCAAGGAGGGGTGTGTCCAGAGAACACATTCAGCTCACTTCAGTCATAGTCTTTACCCTCCTCCACCCCGCCACCCCGCCCTGGCTTTTCCATCTGTTGACTCAGGACACCTACAGCAAAGGGAGGTCTCTCCCAGGAGAGACCTGGGAGATGCCCAAGTCCCAGGGGGCGGCTATTCAGGGGGGAAGGAGCTTTACAGGAACCGGACCCAGAAGGTGCTGCTGCAGCCTGGCAGCAAGCACGTCACCAGTGACCTTTGGGAGGGACGCTGGGGCAGAAACCAGCTCCAGAGGGACAGTCCCTACCCTTAATGAAGGGTAGCCCCCGATCTAATCTGCAAAAGTTCACAGAGATACGAAAAGGGTACAGTCACGATAGAGAGGTAGAGCCTGGAGACAGGCGGGACGGGAGAAAGGCTGCAGACTGGCAGCCTACACGAGGCTTTGATGGCCCACAGGGAGGTATTTTTAAAGCTGACTTGGTTGCCATTGATTACACATGGGAAGTTTTCACAGCAAGATCTGCATGTCTCACGCCCCACATCCTCCACGTCAGCAAATTCTGTAGCTCCGCCTTCAACATGTAAATACCCAGAGTCTGCTGACTTCTCCCTGCCCACACTCTCACCAACCTGTTGCCCATTCTCCGCGCGCAGCCAGAGGGGTCTTGTGAGGACCCGCGACGTCAGACCCTCTGCCTCCTCTGCTCAGAGCTCTCCCTGGCTCCCACCTCCCCAGGACAAAAGCCAGAAACCTCACAGTGGCCCACAAGGTCCTGCCTGGTCTGTCCCCATCACCTCTCTGTCTGCAGCGCCTTCTACTCCCCCCCCCCCCCCGTTCTCCCTCCGCTCCAGCCACACAGACCCCTCACTGTCTCCAGGGTGGTCCAGGCAGGCTCTCTCCGTGGGGCCTTTGCATTTGCTGCCTCCTCTGCCTGGACAGCTCTTTCTGCAAATCTTTCCTCAGACGCCCCCTTCTCACTGAGGTTTCCGGGATACCCAACTAAAAATTCACACCGCCCCTGCCATTCCCACCCCCTGCCCTGCACATTGTGTCTCCATGGCGTTTCTCCCACTCCTCGCTGTCCAACCTGCTACCGAGCCCACTGAGTCTGTTTGCATCTGTCCCCCGTTCGTTCCCGAGCAGCGTCTTTGGTCTGTTTTGACCTCACGGTCTCTCCAGGGCCTGGGGCAGTCTTGCACTTGCGAAGCTCTCAGAAAACATTTGTGCAATGAGTACATTTCCCGCTTCCCCAAAAGAATTTGGCAACACTGGGCAGGAGTGAGATAAGGAGGGGCCACCCCTCTTCTGCTCATGGAAGTCCCCACCCAGCCCCCTTCACTCACGTATGCGTGTCCCCCCCCCCGCCCCCGCCCGCAGGTGACAGAGCGCTGCGTCGGAGCCAAGAGCCTGGCATCTCGATTCCAACTTTTCTGTTCCAACTTTCCCTCCTTGCCGCCTCCCTGTCCCTGCCAATCTCACCGCCCGGAACACCCTTCTCCGCGTCTGCCTGGCAAACTCCTCTTCATCTTCTAAATCAGGGGTCCGCAGACTCCAGCCGCCAGCCAGATCCGGCCGGCCGCCTGTTTTTCTGCAGTTTGTGAGCTCAGAATGGTTTTTACATTTGTAAATGGCTGGGGGGGGGGGGTGGAATACAAAAGCAGATGATTTCATGACACGTGGAAAGTATATGAAGTTCAAATTTCAGCGTCCATAAGTAAAGTTGAACTGGCTGCACAGGGCCACACCGCTCAGTCACCTGTTGTCTGTCGCGAGACGACGGCCGAGCTGAGCGGTTGCGACAGAGGCTGTGCAGCCAGTGACTCTAAAAGAGTTGTCGTTCTGGCCCTTGAGATGAACAAAAACCAAAAACCACCAACGTCTTTCTCGCCCTTAGCTCCTCTGTGAAACCTCTTCTGGTTCCTGGAACCGCCTCGGCCCAGAGGACCCATTCACGTTATTGCACGAGGCACTGGGGACTTGCCCCGCCCTCCGCGAGGACCGGGGCCTTATCACACGGGCTCGCGTGCCCCGGCCCTGAGCGTGCCCTGGCCCTGAGCGTGCCCTCTGGCTGTCGGTAACTGCACATCAAGCTTTTCTGCAGGACCCAGCGCTGCCCACTTCTCTCTGGGCTTGCTTTTCTCGTCTGTGTGGTGGACGCCTTGATCCCCGAGGTCTTCAGCGCTGCGTGGAGGCAGCAGCCCTGAGTCCTCGGCTCAGCAGGTGACATGAGATTATTCACCAAAACAAGATTATTTTTTTTTAAGTCACTGTGAGGGCACGAAGGCCACAGATTCATAAACTGTGGCCCCATTTCAGCCCAAATACGTTTTGCTTGGCTTGTACCTGTTCTGGGTTTTGGTTTTGGTTTTTTGTTTTTTTTTTACTTCACTGTCAATATAAACCTAGCCCACTTAACCCCGCCCACTTCAGTCACGAGTACTACATGTCTGGCCCTTGTGAGCGTTTGAGCTTGCCACCCTAGGGCAGAAAGTTAAAGATCATTATAGCAACAATGCCCAGAAGCCCTAAAGAAGCTTCTGGAGTCAAAGGTTAGGGAAATATTTAGGCCATTTGTTCCCAAACTGGGTTGAACATTGCAATCACCAGGAAGCGTATAAAATGCAGACCCCAGGCCCACCCCAGTCCCACTGAATCCTACCCTCCATCATTCACAGTGCTGGATACGAATTTTTTTTTTCAAGCTTCTCCCACAATGCTTAGGCATTGCAGATGGGAATATATATTGAATCAAGCTCTGCAGATGTGAATTTGGCTGTATGTGTCAAAATTATAAATGTATCTCTCTCTTGACCCAGCGTTTCCACTGCTGGGAATCTATCTTCCAGACCAGCGCTTCTTCAACTTTAATGTGCATACACATGCCCCGGGCGTCTTTCTGAAATGCAGGTCCTAATGCAGCAGGCCCGGGGCGGGGCCTGCGATGCTCCAGCTCTAACAGAGCTCCCAGGCGACCCCCAGACGCCAGTCCTGCAGCATCTGACGCACACGTGCCCAGCACTGCCTGTGCAGGTTGACTCGCTGTACCTCACTCTGTCATGGCAAGGGGTGGGAGGAACCTAAATGTTTACTCACAGGGGACTGTCCTGCAACAAAGCATTACACAGCCTTGGAGAGCATCAAGGCAGCTCTCTATGGAATGCTATGGAATGTTCTCCAGGACATGTTATTAAACACAAAAAGCAAGGAGCAGAACAGTGAGTGGAGTGTTCAGTTATGTATGAAGAGTGTTGGGGTGGGGTGGGGGGGATATTTATGTTCATATCGACTTGAAGAAGCGCAGAACAGTCCGGCAGGAGAAGCTGGTAAGTGAATACCTCCGCAGAGGGGAGAGAATGGATGGATGACAGGAGAGAGAGAGTGATGTATTATAGTACTCACTTGAATTCTGAGCTATGCGAATGTAACACCTGTTCGAAAATAAATGAAAATGTACGTTATAATGATATATAAATAAAAAGACTCACTCTGCACTCCCGGTGCTCAGATGGAATGTGGACCGTCAGAAAAGCTGTGCCAGAGTGGGCAGCTCCTTGCTCAGCGCTCCGTGTGCACTTGTGCGCGCGCACATACACTCCCGTGCAGCTTTGAGGACAGCCTGTGCAGTGTGTTGGCAAGCACACCAGGCTTAAACTCTGCAGACCTCAGCGAGAGCCCAGTGCTGCCAGCCAAGTGACACAGAGCAACACATTCAGCCTCCAGGAGCCCCATTGCATGGGGATGATCAAAATAACCCTGGCCGCCCTGCAGACCTTGGGTGGTAGGAGAACACTTCACAGACTGTCAAGGGTACCCATGAAAACACGAATTATAACATGAACCTCATGGTGAGCAGGGCATGGGGCTGCCTCTGCCTGGTCTCTGCAGGGTCTCGTGCAAACCTCCCAGGACACCATGCAAGGTGGAAACCTAATACCTTGACCTTTGCAGTGAGGCAACTGCTCTGAGCAACCCCTGGCCATGCTAATCTCCAATTCTCCCATCATCTGGTCCTGCTGCCAGGCTGAGTCACACGCATGCAGGCCGAGGGACAG